GAGCGAGGCCGGGGGTTTCCGTGGCCGTCAAGCGCGCAAGAAACCACGGTGGTCACACGGTAGAGCAGGCGCGCCCCGCCCGCCCGGAGGCTCCTGCCACCCCCACGACTGCCAGGGTGGCGCCGGCCTTGGCGGGGCGCACAGCACCCTCGGGGGCCGAGGGCCCGGCCGCCCGGCTGAACCTCCGGCTCCCGTCCCGTTCTGCGCCCCCGTCCGTCCTCCTCCCTCCCCCCCGGGAAAACCGGGGGCCGAGGGGCTCCTGCTAGAGCAAGGAGGATGGACGACGGGCAGGCAAAGCCCGGCAGTGGCGTCGCCACGGGCTGCGGGGTCTCAAGCCTGCAGAACCGAAGCCGAAACCGAAACCCCCAGCCGAGCGCGGGCCGGGGCGAGCAGGTGGGCCGGGGAGCCGCCCGCCGGAGGCCTGACCGCCCGCCCCACCAGAACCTCAAGCGGGTGGCCGAGGTGTGGATGGACGAGTACGCCGAGCACATCTACCAGCGCCGGCCCGAGTACCGCCACCTGTCCGCCGGGGACGTGGCCGCCCAGAAGCAGCTCCGCGCCAGCCTCAACTGCAAGAGCTTCCGCTGGTTCATGACCAAGATCGCCTGGGACCTGCCTAAGTTCTACCCCCCCGTGGAGCCTCCAGCCGCGGCCTGGGGGGAGGTGAGTGGGGGGGACACATCCGGGGCCTCACTTGCTGCTTAGCGGCCTGAGCGGGAGAGGCGCAGCGAGCAGGCACTAGCCGGGCTCCCTCCAGCCGACGCCGCCCGGGGCCACTGCGCAGCCCTCCCCGCAGGTCGAGTCAGGAGTCAGAGCTCCTGGGGTCCTTCTCGGGGGCCAGGTGCAAGGCACGCAGCCCCAGGGGCACGGGGTGGAAGCCTGCGGAGTCAGGGCGTCCCCAGAAGAAGCAGGTGCGGGCCGGGCTGGCAGCCGGTGTGACGCGAGCCAACCCGCGCTGCCCCCGAGGGCCGCTCCCCACCGCGCTGCCCCCGGCCCGGCCTCCCTGCCGGGGCATCGTAGTCTTCTAGAATCTTCTAGGAGTGCGACACTGACCTCCCGCTGGGAGCTCTTCTCCCTGCCAGCATCCTGGTTTCTCCCCGTGTTGGGTCAAGAGCTCTTAGGTGTGGACACGGAGATGGGGTTTGAGGCCCCAAAGCGCGAGAGAAACCGTGAGAACCACGAGGCCCGCTTGACCTCCGGGAAGGGTGGGGGAGAGAGGGAAGGACGCAGGGGTGAGGCTGGGAGATCCCAGGCAGCAGGAGTCTCCAAGGACGCTCCGGCCAGCGAGGAGGAGGCCGCGGGCCCCACCCTGGCAGGAAGCGGCTGGCGCCGGTCAGAGCAGCCGTCAGGTCTGCAGCGGGACGGCGCCCCACTGGTCTCGCCAGCTCCCCCGAGCAGTCTGGGCCACCCCGACGGGGGCCACCCCTCCCCCTGCCCCACTGTCTAGCCAGTGAAGGACATGAGGCAGGAGGAGCCCCAGCCCTGCAGCGGAGGTCACGAGCTCTGCTGGCTCTCAGGGCGGGCCTGGCACTGGCCGGAAGGGGACTGTCCGTCCCCACCTGCCAGATCCGGCCACTGCCGAGGCCCTGCTCTGGGATGAAGCTGCCCAGGGGCCCAGGCCTGGCCACTCCTGGACAGTCAGAGCTTGGCTGCCCGCCCTCGGGTCTCCGAGGCGCCTCATCGGACCCTCCCTCTGCCCATCCAGATCCGCAACGTGGGCACGGGGCTGTGTGCCGACACCAAGCACGGCGCCCTGGGCACCCAGCTGAGGCTGGAGAGCTGCGTGCGAGGCCGCGGGGAGGCGGCCTGGAACAACATGCAGGTAGGGACCGGGGCTGGGCGGGGCCTCGCGTCTGCGTGGGGCGGGGCCTCGTG